CCCGCGCCCGCCTCCTTCCGTAGGGCTCGCTCGGAGCCCGGCTCCAGGAGCCGCTGCCCCAGGGCTGGGGAACCACAGGTGGACGAGGACGCTGACGGGCAGTGGAGGGAAACCGGCAGAGGCTGGCAGGCTAGCCGGCGCACCCTTCACGTGTGAGAAACATGCCTTGCCTTGTGTCGAGGCTGACGGGCACACGGAGGGCTAAGGTGAGAGGCTGGAGGCAGGGAGGGAGCCTCAGCGTTGCTGCTCAACGCCTGTGCCGTCTCTGGCGCGTCGCTCACGGAAGCGGCCTCGCTGACGAAGTGGCGGCGTGAGGAAAGCCTCAAGGTCTCCCTGCTCGTGGCCCGCGAGTCTCAGGGCTTTAGGGGTCGGAGGCGGTGAAAACCTCACAACGACCACAACTGTGCAGCTTTCAGTTCAATAAAACACGTATTTATCGACTGCTGACGGTCACAAGGCACAGCATCGGCTCAAACGCTGGACCAAGGGAAAGCAAAGCCACTACGCCGTAACAGTAGCTGCACAACGAACATGCCCGGAAGCCAGGCCCACGTGACCCGGAGAGCTACGTTTCACAGAGCTAAGAGGGCCGGGAAGACGGGAGCAATCGGAAGAGCAAGGGAAACGGGAACTGGGAAAGCACTCAGAAGCACCGGAGTTTGAGAGAAGCACGTGGACAGAACTCAGGCAAGAGACGGAAGTAAAAGACAAAGAAATTTCAGGAGCCAAGGCCAACCCAGAGGGAACGGGACTGAATAAACACGGTGAATCATCCCTTAACAGAAACAGCAGATGGAAAACAGAAAAACGTTTTAAATTAAAAAGCGTGAACACTTCAATTTATATGAAACTCCACGGCAGACACAGCGCTCTGACGTGGATGCAGAGCACTGCCTGGATCAGCGCAGGAGGGCCATCTTGTGCGGAGGGCACACGGGGGCCTTCCGGGAGATGCAGTCCCCGCGTCCCAGGAAGGCAGAGGGGACTTGGACGCACGCGTCCGCTACCAGACCTCAGCACCAGAGCGTGCGTTTCCCCGTGTGCGCGTCAAGTGCTCGGAATATTTTGAAAGAAAGTGATGAATGCAGAACAAAGGCAAAGACAACCCACCAAGCACATAAAAGGAAGCTGCGGGAAGAAAGACAGCGGACAAGGCCCAACACGGCAACTTGGGCTGGAGAAAACGATCCTGCAGTTAACGCTGAAAGGCTCAGCCGGCGCCCGGGAGAGCGGCCGGAGGAAGCCCCGCCCCGGCTAAGTCACAGCACTTCTACTAAGGGGTGAAGGGAAACAAGCAAGGACACCTTTGGTTACTCAGCAGAGAAGCCTGGGTCCCTCAAAGGGGTCAGGAGATCAGGCTGTCATCGGGCTTGTCCACGAAGGGCTGCGGAGCAGAAGCCGGTGGAGGAGCCCCCGGAAGACTCGAGGCAGGAAAGCGAGTCAGAGGCGTCACAGCGACTCAGACT